GGGGGGGGGGGGGGGGACGCAAAAGCAGGGCCGCCCCCGCACAAGGGCACGCACGCGGGCCGAGGACAAAATGGGAGTCCGTCTCCCGGCCAAAAGTAAGTGTGGATACCCAGAATCGAACTGGGGCCGAGTGGGCCACAACCACTTATACTAACCACTATACGATATCCACCCACATGGAAGCACGACCCTCGTGTCGCTCTCATAAAGCCCTCCTGCCACACCACGCCGAGGCTGGCCGGCGCCCGCGCGCCCCTCGGCAGCCGGCACCAGCCAAGCGGCCGAGGAAAGGACGCCGCTGCCCCCCGCGACGCTGGCACCGGCAACGAGGGCTCCGACAGAAAAAAATCAGGCCGCCCCCCGGCCCCGGCTTTGCCCGGGCCGAACGAAAGCCGCGGCCCAGAGGCCAGTGGCGCAGATGGGCCCCCCCCCCCCCCCCCCCCCCCCAACCAGCCTCCCGGCCGCCGCCCCTTCTGCGACCTAATTAGCCCCGAAGCAAGCCGACCATGCCCCGGCCAGCTGACAGAGACAACACGGCCCCACGCCAGCCCGGCAACCGCCCCGCCGGAGATGTACCCCGGTCCGGCCCTCGCCGCGGACAATATATCCCCCAAGGGAGCATGACATCCCCAATCCCGGGGGCGCCGACGCCCCTAAATATCGGCCAGCACCCGCGCCAGACGCCGGCCAGGTAGCATCCCCTCCCCGGTCCCCCGGGCCTGGCGCCCTGCCCCCGCACGCACGCGCGCACGCACGCACGCACGCACGCACACACGAGGCTCGACCAGCCCCAGATCGCGGGCAAACGTCGATCCGGTGGTGGAGATCCGGGGAATGCTATTCCTCATGGCGCCGCATGTGCCGCCGCACACGGAGCCCGCGCTGGCAGCCCGGACGTCCTCGGCCAGGGGCCCGATATGGCCACCCCCCGATCGCCCCGGGGCGGGGCCCCAGCTTTCGGCCGCCCGCCCGCGCGAGCCAGGCAACCCGGCACCGGGGCACGCCTCTCCCCCCCCCCCCCCCCC